TGGTAATGATGACGATGATGATGGTGAAAATGATACCCTAACGGCAACGAGGATGGTGATATGACCGTCGAGTCGAGGATACATGATACGTGGTTCAAGATTTGTACGTGGGCTTCCCGTGTTGGGAGCGTTGTGACACTCAAAGGCACCTGTGCCGACAAGAGTTGTGCCCGGCTGTATAACGCCGCCCCAGCATAGTCGAGGTAAACTGCCTGGAATGTTTGCACTTGAAGAAGCAACATCCTCTTCAGAGTGACCACCACAGACAAACAAAACTACGTATACATAAACAAATAAATAAATATGTATATATATATATATGTGCAACTCCAGTCGACGGTTATCTCTTGCATCAACACAATCACCGTCATCCCACCGTCAATTCTGCATCACTGTCCGATCTGTGTCTTCGACACACACCAACAACATCATCATGTGCCTTCTCCACTCTCGATCCAGTAATTCAGGCTCGTTGGTTCCCAAACAGTCTGTCGTAACACCACCGTGCCCATCCCACTCCCACCCGGCTCACGGCTCCCGCTGCAGTACCGTGCGCATGTTGCGCCATCATAGTGGTTTCACTGAGCTTCCGGAACTACCATTCTATCGTTCTTGTGTCGCCATGCTGTGAAGGCCGTACTGCGCTCAATGCAGTGCCATGCTCGCTTCGTGCGGGTGCCGTGCTGATTTCTACCACTTCCCTAGCGCAAGGTCTTCGAGTGGGCAGTCTTCGGCTGTTTCGAGTGGTTTTCACTTGCTGCCAGAGTGTTCGCAGACTGGCCTTCGAGTATTCTTGTAATGCTCTTGGTGCGTTCTTAGGCGGTGTTTGAGTGTTGTGATTTCATTTGCAACAGACTGTTAACCACCATGACCACATCCCGTCCTGCATCATCTTCCTCTGTCTGACATTGTTGCCTTGTAATTCTGAGGATGTGGTGTCCATAAGCTTGTGGATCCTAGCTTTGCTGCTAGTTCCTCTTGCTCAGACGATTCGAGACTGAATCATGATTTGTTGAATGTCCTGTTATGGATTCAGAGTTAGGGTATGCTGCTCGAAGCATGTCCGGCGCACACCCTGCTGCTCTAAAAACCATCACCAACGTCAGCTTGAGTTCCAGACCACACAAAGGAATATTCGGGTAGTGTCCCGACTCACACAATGAAAAGACAAACTCGTCAGGACTCGGCGGTTCCGGGGTCCGGATGCCTCGCCGATGTGAGCGAGCTCCAGCCTTTTGTACTCCTCAACTGCCGGCAGGTACCTCCGGTGACTGCTGTTGTAGCATTACTACTAGTTCAGGGCATGGGTACTGGTCGTCGTCGGTCCAGCAAAAACGAGAGGAGGAGGAGTAGAGGCAAATGCCAAATCTATGTAGTAGTAGTAGTAGTACTACTACTACTACTACTACTACTACTACTAGTACTACTACAACTAGGACTCGTACTAAATATACCAAACACTACTTTTATTGATACTAGCAGTAGTAGTCGTCGTCGTCGTAGTAGTCGTCGTAGTCGCAGTAGTAGCAGCCGTCGTAGTAGCAGCCGTCGTCGTAGCTGTAACAGCAGCAGCAGTCGTAGCAGTAGTAGAAGTAATCGTCGCACTAGTAGAAGTAGTCGCAGTAGTCGTCGTCGTCGTCGTCGTAGTAGTAGTAGTAGTAGTAACAGTAGTAGTAATAGTAGTAGTACTGGTAGTAGCAGTAGTCGTAGTAGTAGTAGTAGTAGTAGTAGTAGTAGCGATAGCAGCAGAGCTAGTAGTGGTAGCAGTAGAGCTAGTAGTAGTAGTAGTAGCAGTAGTAGTAGTAGTAGTAGTCGTCGTCGTCGTCAGTAGCAGTGGTGGTGGTGATGGTGGTGGTAGTAGTGGTAGTAGTGGTGGTGGTGGTGGTGGTGGTGGTGGTGGTGGTGGTAGGCACCCCGCACCCTTACCAACTACACTTGCGTTTAACCATGTTAAGAAAATGTCACTTTTACTCAGTATTTACAGCCCTTTCGTCATGTAGGAGCATCTTATGAAGCCTCAGAATCGTCGAGTTTGCAAACTCGAGCTTCGGATTTTGGACTTGCTTTCGGGGGTCGGGGGGATGTGTTACGAAGACACCCCGAACAAGATCTCCACAAGAGCCGCTTTTATCGATAGTTACAGTACTTTCGTGATGTCGGACCATCTTAAACAGTTACCAAATCTACTTCTAACTCGACTTTGGGATTTCGGACGCCTTTCGGTGAAAACTCGAAATTGGGTGGGGGCTAGCCTTTTTCGGGGATGATCACGACACTGTTTCGTGCACACACCACTCCCCCCACCCCGGCCAAAAGTCCGAAGCTCGAGATTGCAAACTCGACAAGTCGATTCTGAGGC